CTGAGCTTGTTGAATATTTTAGGCAAGGAACAGTTTCAGAGCAAAATAGATTTTCATTTAAAATACCTACAAGAGTGTTGATTGGATACAGCATGATACAGAGAAAAAGCATAGAGTTTGACATCACAAAGATGGGATTGACACCATGGCTGAGCTACCTACAGAAAGTGGATCTGGGGAAAATTACCCAACTTCCTGAAAATAATAAAAATTAATACACACCCCACAGGTTACATGGGTAAATTGAATAAAATAATGTATGTGAGCACCTGGGAGTAATGTATGCAAGCTAACAAGATCCTGAGGGTTGACCAATATAAATTACATCTGTCTTGCCACTGTTGAAATGAAAACCATTTAGGGACTCTGAAAGCTGAGTCCAGTAAAAAGTAAAAGCAAAACTCACAATTAAAGATGAGGGTGGATTATTCTTGGTGGAACTTAGACTCGTGCTGTAATAAGTCACAGAACCAAGTGCACTATCCAAAAAAAAAAGCCATGCTGAAAAAAAGTGCTCTTTACAGCAGTTTGTGCAAATGAAATAATCTAAACAGCCTTTTTCATGGGGTTATTTCTTTTACCTTTTACCTCTGGCCTTTGGCTGCAATCTGTGCATTTTCACGTGTTTCTTTTGAACGCTGCAATTTTATTTGTCAAGACTATTCTTAAGAATCACAGACAATACCGTGCCGGCACAGATTTGCCAAGCCCTCCTGAGGTGTAGGCAAGGGCACAGGGGAGAGCTGGGTCATCTCTCCCAAGCTTACGCGTTGTGCCCCAAATCAGAATTCAATCAGAATCATTCCAGTAAGTATCCCTTGTTTCCTTCTGACCAAAGTAGCCAGGCCACAGCTTCCGGCCTGGCTCTTCCACTTCAGTACCCCCGCCTGGATGGCACTGTGCTCCTGGCACGGCATGAATGACTTCTCTCATCCCCTCTGTCTCACCCAGCTTGGGCTCTGTCATCTGCGGTTGTCATTGCAGAGATCCCAGCGAAAGCTCCTGGGGGTGAGCTGGAGTCAGCCTGTCACTGCCTGCCCCTGCCCAACAGGGTGCAAACTCCTCACCTAAACTGACACTGCTTTCCTTGTCCTTTACAACCTTACATCCACCATTCTTTCCTGCGTGCCCCCAAACCATCTCCGATCTCCTTGTCTTTATCCAACCTTTCTACCCAGTCAGTATTCACCCTCCTCTTTGAGGCCTGGGCTGTTCTATCATGAAATAAATTTAGCACTTCATCCACATGATTCTGACGTAAACTGAGCTTGGCAGTGGCCCATTTCTCCTTTCTGTCACCCCACATTTCCTCTTGCTACCGCACTCCTGCCTCAACACTCAGAGCCCTGTGCAGCCCGTTATTACCCAGGACTTACCACCTCCTTCCGCTTTGCCTCTTCTCCTGCAGGGAAAACTTGTAATCAGCTAATCTGCACAAACACACCAAAGACTATGATCGATGTACCCAATGTGTTGGCTTTTATCTTTAACTGCAGAATCTAGCACTAAGCCAACAGGGGGAGACTATTTCCCAGTAAATTATTCTAGTGCTTTGTGTCCTTCATCTGGCTTCAAAGCTACTATCAAAACAAGATTCAGGAGACCTACTGTGCTCCGTGCTCTGCTGCTCCACTGCCCATTACCCAGAACCTCACCACCTTGGCCTAGTGAGTCTTCAGGACCGATCCATCATGTCCCCATGGCTGTGCCTGTGGGTCGCTGTAAGACTATTGTCAGGACCGTTCCTACAGACGCCGTATGTCCTGAGCCTCACCCAACCTACTGTTATCCTGACCTTCCAGTCCTTGCCTTCTTCTGCACATCCATCCTCCCCAATGCCCTGAGCTCCTCAGCCCCTTCTCAGGGACCTTTATGTGGATTCTCCCACACTTGCTGCTGCAGCCCTGCTTCCAGGAAGGACTGTCTTTCCCCAGTCTCACCTACCCCAAAGCCTGAGGAAGGGCATGCATCTCCTTTGGTCTTTGTTGACACTTTCTGTCCACTTTGACTCCTTCCCGAAGTCTGAAGATCTCTGAGTCACTCACTCTTGTTCTATGAAGACTTTGGTGCCATGTCTGTCTGTCACAAATACTCACCTCCATGCTGATGCTTGGCAATTTCAGTGTCCACACGGAGCCCCTACCCCTACCCTGGCCTCTCACATCCCTGAATCCTTTGCAGTGTTCTTATCCTTCACCCTGACTCAGCCACCCACCAACCTCACCCTTGTGCATAACCATATACTCCCCCAAATGCCAGCCCCAAAGCTTTCCCTCTTCCTGTCCCACTTTGCCTCTCTCCAGTCCTCTAGGCTGTATCATTCCCCCATAGCCACCAGGCCCTGGATTCTACTGTCTTCTTCACAGCCGCTCGCTCCTCATGTCCTTGCCTGCGCATCTCACACCCTGCAGCATCTCACTGGGATCCCTTCCTTGCACACCCTTCCACTCCGTGCCGGCATTCTTTGTGCCATACTCACTTGGCTAATCTGTAAATGTAACTCGGTATGACCCTGTGCATTCTCTTCTCAAAGCAGCTGAATCTGGAAAGGGAAAACAATGCCAATGGCCCTATTTGAATTCCAGGAGTGCTAACCTCAGCTGAGCCATAGGCGGTGCCCAAGGATCCCTGAGAGGCGGTAGAGCATGGGGGTGGGCTGATGGAGCCAGCTTCCTGGTTCAGATTCCCACTCTGATCCTTACAGGGTATATCCCTGGGATTCTTTCCTCTTCTGCACATCAGTCTCTTCATCTGAAAAATGGGAAGCAAAACAGTAATTACCTCCGGAATGCATTAAGGATTAAATGAGTTAATACATGTAAAGTACTTAGGAAAGATTCTGGCATACAGCAATCCCATCTAGTGATGACTTATTACTATCATCATAGTACATTTCTTGGGTCCACTTTCCTTTTCTATTTTTTAATTTTTATTAGGACATGTTTGCAGGGCATCATGATTACATTCATTGTGGGGAGTTAATACATGTGTGTAACACAGCTTAATTCTTTTCTCATCCCCTTCCCCGCTCCTCCTCCCTCCCTCCCTCTCTTGGCCCCCTTGCAAGATCTAGCTCCTTGTTTCCTATTGTCCGTCTTTCATTTTGCTCTTTCTCATCTGACTTAGCTAAGCTGTATCCATCTTATCCCTGGCATTGTTGTTACAGTGCCTGAGCTCTGTGCCTCTACCGAGGACCAAAGCCCTCACATGTGCTTTGGGCTCCTCCGCTTCTCAGCAACATCTATGTGGCAGTCCCCCACCACTCTCCTGCCTTGTAATTCACCCGGTCATCCCGGTCGTCAGATCTTGTAGTTCTGACCTTCCTTGACCCACCAAGTCTCTCCTCGCTCTTCTCTGCAAAGCACCTGCTTCAGACTTCTAATTCCTTGTTTCCCATTTCCCCCAAACCCACTCTTCTAATATTTTTTCCACAATGTTTCACGAACTGCTCTTTTCAGGATTAGCAATGACCATTATGTGGCCAAAGCCATGCTAATTTCTCATCCCTTGTTTAATTTGGTCTCTCAACAGGAGGCCAATTATTCCCTCAAAGCATTTTTCTCAGCTGGCTTCCAGGATGCTGAGCCCTTGTCTTTCTCTTCTTTTCTTCTTGGCACTCCTCCTCAGACCCTTTTGTTGTTTCTTTCTCCTATGCTTGACCTTGAAATACTGCAGGATCTGGGGACCCAACGGTGGGCCCTCTTTTCATCTCTGCTTACCCTGACTCCCCTGGGAGTCTCATCCAGTCTCAGATGTCACATACCATCTCCAGGATCATGACACCCATAGTCCCATAGTTATAGCCTCTTCCTCTGGTAGCCTGAGGAATCACTAGTAGTTCTTGCAGATCTCAGCTCAAATTTCACCATACAGAGAGGCTTTCCCAAGCCACTCGAAATAAAATAACATGCATCGTCCCTCATTCTATCTCTTCATTTTGTTTTGTTTTTCTACATAGCACTTTTCTCCCTGTAACACATACTTATTTGCACATTGAAAGCCTTTTGAGAGCAGGAATGTTATCTACCTCAGAGAGTATGTTTCATGTAGAAAGCTACCAATAAATACTTATTGAATAAAGCCATGGTCTTATTCAGTCCTGACAACACTCCAACAATCCTATCAGAAAGATTATTGTAGATGAAGAAGCAAAATCAGGTTAACTCATTGTCACATAGCTGACAATTCAGGCAACCTGACTGTACCCAGCACACTACAGAGGCCGCAAGGCACTGTGGAGTCCTTGTCACCTGGGTAGTTTTACTAGCTGCAGAGTTTATCTTAACAATAGAGAACCTTTGAAATGGTGGTGGTTGTGGAAGGCAGGGTGGGGGTTGGTGGTAGCATGCCCTTGATAAGGTGCTGATACAATCCCACATGGGCACAAAAGTGCTCATCTCCAGTTCCTCGATCACCATATCACGCTAACTCAGAGACTATGTTGGTGCTTCAGTGGAAGGTTTGAGCTGACTATATTTTATACCTTGCTAGCATCAAACTGACCTATGCTGACAGAATTTAAATCAGATTTAATTAAAAGTTTCTGCTCAAGTTTACCTTGAGGTCTGTGAAATTGAAAACCTCCCTTGCTGTTGTCATAGCTGTCTTACAGCTGACATAATTCCTAAAGAAGCTTATATGTTAATGCCCCAGAATCATTCACTGTGCTCGCATGCTGCTGAATCAAAATGCCATGATTTGAGTTAAATATACAGAAAATATTATGTATGGTATTTGAAGAATATACCATAGTTAAACTATAGTTAAAATGGACAGAATTCCCAAAAATCTGATTGCATGGACTTTAAAAATACCCATATCTTAAATATATGACATATTTGAAGTTCATACTCAATGAATTCTGCCACTTCAGGTCCCTTAAATAGGGATTGTAAGATATAAGAGATATTTCCATGTAAGCAATACATGCATTTAGTTAATAGATGTTAAAATCCACTATGTTTCAATGGTGAAATAAACTGCTGTTTTCTGTTTTAAAGGAACCCAACTGTTCACCCTCCAATACCACCAAAGCCCAGTTCTCCTGTTGCTTCTCCAAAGCAGCTGAGACAGGAGAATAGGTAAGACCTAACGCTTCAGGATTTCTTGCCAGAATTAAGTTCGAGGGAAATGAGAGAAAAGAAATTGTTACCTGCTTCATGAAAAACATGGGTATGATTTGGGTGCACATTTATTAATGCAGCATTTATAGAGCTTTTTCTATTTTATCTGTCAGTACAACTGTGCATTTATGTTTGCTTTACAATCCTGAGGCATGTTATCTTATGGAAATACATCTTTAATGTATAAATGGAATCATATTCATGTTCAAGAAGTATTTGGCCCAGACTTCTTACATATTAGCTTCAAATGTATATATATAGGACATACATATCTTATATGTCTGAAATATAAATTATATTTAATATAAATATAAGTATTCTATAATATACAAATATATGGTTATAATATGAATATATTTAATATAAATTATATAATGTCATTATATTAAAGATTTATACAGCTATAATATAAATATAAAACATATTAAACACATAAAACATAAAATATAAAAGATTAAATGTTTAAAACATATATGTATATGTATGATTTATATTCACTTTTGGTTAAATTTATTATTAAGAGCTACACTTCTGATAAAACATATTCTTAAAACTTTATGTTACTTCTCAGATCCTCAAGTATGTCAGAAAAATTTTGGGTTGTTCTTTAATATTTTTAGCTAAGGGATTTTCAATTTATTTCAAACTATACAAATTTTGAACGATTTCCTAATTAACATCTCAGGATCGGGAAAAACAAACTTGCTTTTCCACTTCAAATCTTTGCCACTCTATTATTAATACTCAGACACCAACTCAGAGACCTGAAAGCCCTCCCATGTGTTCCTGTTAAGCTGTTTAATAATCTTGAACCATTTTGAAAGATGTAACTTCCACATTTCCATTATTAGTGTGAGATTGCAAAGACTGAATACATTAGATCTGCTTGATTGCCCGCCTTTGATTCTTTTGTACTTGTGCTTCTTGGTGTGATTTTTTTGACACAGTGTAAGACACAATTGTAGAACTATTCTTCAATGAGGCACAATTGCAGAACTGTTCTTTAGTGAGAGGGTATCCAGCTAGAAAGTGCTGACTGTGAAGCAGGCCCGTGTACAGCAGTAGCTGTCTGTCCTATTGGGGTAAAATTAAACTTCTATTCAGTGACACTTCTCAGGATCTTTGGAAGTTTGTTCTGAGGATGACAGCATAGTTATTTTAAATGAGTCAAGAGAATATTTCTTCACTGAACTCATTAATAGTATAGATTAGATTATGGTTTTTCATTTGTACAATAGTTATAATTATCTCCTAAAAATAACTTCTCAAGCTTTTTAGTTTACCTGATTTTTCCTTTTACACTTATCGCATTGAACAATTAAATCTCAATTTGAACAGGAGTTTTTAAAGGGCTAAAATAAATTATTTGTACCACCAAAATTCTAACCTACAGTCAGTGACACTAACACAGTCAGCTCGTTTTGATTCAAAGGAAGCTAAATTTTACAGGAATTGGTCTAATCCGCTTTCACCACTAATTTTTTTTCAGCAGTGATCTAAAAAATAAAATTAGGATAACTTGGTGTGTTGTTTAAACCCTGATTACTTTACTTACAGCAAGATGATTTTAATGAAAGAATATGAAAGAGAAGTGTTTCCTATGTAATTAATGAAATGTCCTCAAGAGAACAAAAAACTAGCTTGAGAACAAGCAGGAATGTGTAAGTAGGTCAACCAGATACTTAGAAGTGCATAGGAAGGCCTTGTATTATCTGTTGCAACAGAACCTAGCATCATAAAATTTAATGCTGTCAGCTCAGAATGGTAATTTTCAACAGGGCGGGTATGTGTGAAATATAGACTTACTTCCTGTCTTATCCGAATAAATATTTTTGATGATGCTCAAATGGAATAAATCCTTAAGAAAAGCATCATCTCTTTGATGCTTAATGACAAAAAGGTTGTCGATATTTTCAAATATTATCCCATTATTTAATAGAAATTAGTATGAAAATGCTCTGATGAATGGAGGCCAAACAAATAAACATGGAAAAACTATTAACAGGTACAGCCTGTAGTTTAGAAATATGTAAAATTGTAAAATTAATATATTGGATTCTTTAAATTTTTAAATATGACATAGTTGAGCTTCAGCCAGCCCAAAGAACTCAGGAAAAGTTGTTATGTCAAATAGTTGTGTTTCTAACACATGTCAATCTTTCTGAACATAAGCGACTTCTTATAAATTTGAATTTAACAGAGATGTGTTTTCTTACCTAACAGACTTTACCTTTAAAATTGCAGGCAGATATCTCCACCTAAACTTGGTATATCCACAGAAACCAAACGCTCTACTGAAAGAAGCATAAGGTACAATTATATATATCTCTATTGCTATCTTTATATCTCCATATATATATATATATCAATTATATAGATATAATTGTAGCAATGAGAAATTATGCATTATTAGAACAGTTTGAAAGTACAAAATATTCAAATAGAAAAAATCAGTTTTCCAGCTTACTTCCACATAGTGGGTAATAAATACTGTTATAGGTACTTACAAAATTTTGTTCCTTGTATTTTTATCCTAAACTTTGCACTAGAAAACAATCAAAACTATCTGAACATGGTAACAGAACAAGATTAAATCCCTCGGAGGAAGGAAAGCATGTTCATCTCTTTATTCCCAGCACTTGCCCTGAGCTCTGTGACATAGTCGGTGTGGGTGTATAAGTGAACAAGTGCAAATTCAGTCATTGAGCTGAATTTGTGCCGCAACAGCTTTGCCTAGTGCTGGCTGTAAAAAGTCATGGCCAGTTCCCGCCGTAGCATCAGGGACAGGCTCACAAATTGTGTTGATTCCTCTGGGTAAAGTGACATCTGCCAATATCTGGTCTCTTGATGACAGTCTTGATTTGTACCTCTTGTTTTGTGTGTCCTATCTAGTTTAGTTTTCCTGCAAATGAGTCAAGTTGATCCTTCTTTCTGGCAGAGTGGTACATACTCCATTGCATATAAATACCGCATCTTTATCATTCGTCTGTTGACGGACATATAGGCTCCTTCCAAGATTTAGCTATCATGAATTATGCTACCATAAATATGGGTATCCAGGCACCACTGTAATGTACAATGTCTTTAATTCTTTTGGGGAAGATACCTGGAAAGGGAATAACTGTGTTAAGTGAATTTGTAGTTTTAATTTTTTTGAGGAATATCTGTACTGATTTCCATAGTGGCTGTACAAGTTTACATGCCCACAAACAATGTAGAAGTGTTCATATTTGCCTACAGCCTCTCTGGTACTTGTTATTATTTGATTTCTTGATAAATAAAATAATTGCCATTATTTTCTGAGCAAGATGAAATCTCAGTGTTGTTTTAATTTAATGGCCACTGATGTTGAACATTTTTAAATGTATTTATTGGCCATTTGTACCTTTTCTAAAAACTGTCCATTCATTTCAGTTATCCATTTTTGACTGGGTCTTTTATTTTGAGAGATATAATATTTTGAATTCATTATATAGTCTAGATATTAGCCTTCTGTAAGGACTAGCTGGCAAAAATTTTTCCATTCTGTAGGCTATTTTTTCACTCTTTTGTCTCCTTTGCTGTGCAGATTTTTAATTTTGATATGATCTCAATTATAGATTCTTTGTACTATTTCTGGTGGGCAAGTTTTTAAACTGAGAATTTTTTTATTTTACAGAATAAAAACTGAATAAAAACAATACACAATTTCAAAACAAGATACTAGAAAATTAACAATGGTTATTATATTGCATCTTGTTATCTCCAAAGTAGTTGCTCAGATTACCAGATATAGGCATGCAAAATGATCAAACAATATAAGCACTAACTGTTCCTTTCAATGAATGGAAATTGGTAGTATAATTATCTTAGCTATCTTGCGTGTATATATTTTCCTTCCTTCTTTTCTCTTTTCCCTTATCCCAATTGTTCTTGCTTTTTGAGCAGTTTCTTTCCCTTGCATAACATATGTTGTACCTTTTGGATCTTATTTACTCTTGCAGTTTCTTATGCTAGGGAGACAACAGGGGAAAAGGAGTTTTTTTTTCCACAGCTGATGGGAGTGTAGACTGGTGCAACCAACGTGGAAATCAGTGTGGAGATTCCTCAAAAAACTAGGATTAGGGGTCCCATTAGACCCACCTATTCCCCTTCTGGGTATTTTCCCAGAAGAATTGAAAACATCATTCCACAGCGATATATGTGCACCCATGTTTATAGCTGCATAAATTATAATAGCTAAATCTTGGAAACAACTCAAATGCCTACCAACTGAGGAATAAATAAAAAAGATGTGGTATTTTTATATGATGGAATATTACTTAGCTTTAAAGAAAATAAACTTGAGACTGTTATAGGTAAATGGACGCAACTAGAGACCATACTCCTGAGTGAAATAAATCAGATTTGCATGTGAGAGATGTTTTGAAGTTCAAAATTGACACTTTTTTTTGGATTATCTACTTTGATTCTCAGAAGAATTCAGGTTGGAAACACACCACATGGATATACCTTACCTTTGGGAGGAAATTTTTTTTTGTATCTAGGAAATTAAAGTGCAGCTCAACATTTTCCAAACCATTCCATGTGCCACACACGATGTCAATGTGTGTTCTGTGAAATAAAGACTTTACTGTAAATCATGGTTTAATGGAACATTTAGGAAAGACAGTTAAATAGTGTCCTTTGCAGTAAGACTTTTCACAGTCTTCAGAACACACAGAGCCCACGCTTGTGTGTTCTGAAGCACCAAAAGTAGGTTATATTTGCCAAACCTGATGGCAAAATCCTTTCTTCAAGAACCCTGTTGACCCTCTGTGAAACATTTGTTTAAAAATTTGTCTTCGTTATAGGGGAACCTATGTGGATTTCATTAATTGTTCTTTTCCTCTTTTTTATTTAAAAAGGACAAAAACAAAATAAAACAAAGATATAAACAAAACAGTATAGAACAATAAAAATGATACAGAATTTCAAAACAAGGTGGTGGGAAATTAACAATGGTTGTTCTATTACATATTGTTATCTTCAAAGTGATTTGATAACCAGATATAGGCATGTAAGATTGATCAAACAATTACACGTTAAGGGAGATTACCATGGGTCCAAGCCCTTTATGTCTCAGATGTTTCCACCTAGTCCATAGTTTAAAATGTACTTCCTTTTCCTTTGGAACTGGAGAAGACAGACACCTTCACATCATTTGAGGGACTAATTGTCTGTCCTTGTGGATTAATTGTCCTTGAGTTTTGGAGACAAGCTACTGAACTTACTTCTGCATTTACCTGTGCAATTAGTGGGTTTTCTTTTCCAGGTTTTAAAGTTTGGAATGCAGGAGCCATTAATAGCAGTCCTTAGGAGAAAATGTAGTTATTTCAGTGAGCACTAGATGGCAGAGCTAGCACCCAGGTGGGATGACAAAGAGGGTGTGTGTGTGTGTGTGTGTGTGTGTGTGTGTGTGTGTATGTGTGTGTACATGTGTTTGCGTCAGTGGTAAATGAGCCAGTGTGATAGAACGATTTTATTATTCTACTACACTCTAATTCATGAAGAGGACATGGACTATCATTTGCTTTACTAGAAACAAATGTGAAATTATACCTGCTTCAAAGCTAGCTGTACTGTCTATTGACCTGTCTCCTTTTTTCTGTTGTTTGAAGGACTCAGGATCTTGATGACATCATCAAGGTGGCAACCTCACTTCAGAAAACTAACAAGGGGTGAGATCGCCGAGCTTATGAGCTTGATCTTTCCTTTTCTGTGTGCTCTGAAAATGCCTACTGATACCTTTAAGAGTCCCAATTATGAAAAAATCTGTCATGCTCTTTATTACCTATAATTTAGAGGAAGAAAGCATCATAGTCTCTGCCTAAGTACCTTTGAATGATAGATGGCACTGACATTTATGGACATTCGTCCTCTTATTTTCCTTCTGATGATTTTTCTTATCCTGGGGGGTCTCAGCTGCTTAATATCATTCCAGATTTCAGTCCTGCATTTGTGCTGCTGGCCCAGGCCTTTCCTTAGCTATCTCCCCAAACCTCACTTAGGATGTCTTAGGCCATGTTCAACTTCCTTACCCGAAAAGGTGCTATTTCCAGACTTTTATTCTTTGCTTCCTATAGGCTCAAGATTCTGGGATCACTCTCGATTCTTTCCCTCTTTCCCCCACTGTGTAGCACATATGAGCTACATGTCTAAGAGGTCTCTCATGCACAAATGGCCTCACTCTGTTCAAACGCTCATTGATTTCTATGGAGATAATTACAGTAGCTACTCAGATTTTCTTACACTCCTTCAGCCTTTCCTTCATCTAAGCTGTTTCTATCCAAAATGCCAGTTTTTTTCTGTACATTTCTGTTCCCAAACTACTACCTGGTTCCCCATTGTCCCTTATACATAATCTCATTCAGACCCTTTGCTAACTTGGCTCCAGCCTAATGTTCTGGTTATTTCTGACCAATGCATATATTTATCCTACATTAAAAACCAGATTGCTTTTTTCTATGATTACCAGATACCTGCTTCCATTTATGCTCTTCCATCCACACTGCAACCTTCTCCAGCCTCAAGCCTGCTATGTCAGTCCATCCAGGTCCTACATCTTTCAAAACCCAATCAAATACCACCTCCTCTGTGGAGTCTTCCCTGAGTGGTCCAGTGAGATGTGAATTTTTGCCTGTCTAAGTGATTTGAGCCCCACTATTTATATTTTATGATGCCTAATCATGTCTGCTTTGTTTTGTGCTGCTTGTGTAAGTAAATGTGACATCTTCCCTGTCTTCATAATTTTCAGGGTAGATATTTTTTCTTATTCACCAGATGTCATTTGCAGTGTCTGACATGCTGCCTTGTCTAAAGGAGACATTTATATTTCAGCTTATGGTAAAACCATGATGAGCAGTGAGAAAACCTTGAGGATAAATACTCCATGGTTTAAATCCGAAACCAACAAATTTTTTTCTGTGTCCAATGCAATTTGGTAATGATAAGATTGTTACTAGATATTGTTGTCTCAGTCAAAAGAGCAGAAAAGAAGAAACAAAGGGAACCTTGGATTTTGGTGCAAATCTATAATCCAGTAGGAGCTCTGCACGCAGCAGGAGAACAGAAAGTATTCTTCATGTTTCAATTCCATTTCTCTCTCCTTTAAGTTCCTAGATCGCTTAATTTACTTGTGTTTGAGGTAATATTTGTTTTCAACAGAGACCGGACAGCTTTTTGGGGGATGGTTAGAATGTTTGAAGGAGAGATGAGTGATGCTTATGGGAAATGATTGTTTGGTATAAACCAAAAACAATGACAGCAGCAGTTCTTGACCTGACTCCCTTCTGTCCCCACTCACTAGCCATCATGCACAAATTTCACAGCCACATACATTCATCACAGAGAGAAGTGCTGCTTTGATATGGACCAGGAATAATGTACTATGGACTGTCCACTGGGAATAGGAATGGCTTTATTTACCCAAATTGCTCTTTGTGGAATAGAATGTGACTGATAATCTGATTAAGAGCATTTAATGTGTTGCCAATGCAATGGTGGAACTTAATATCCAAGCTTCTTATCAATTTACAGTCATTCTAAAAGCCCAAGTTCTTCATTTAGAATACAGTCTCCATTTTATACAGTTTACCACAGAGTGTGCTTCTCATGGCTTATGCTAATTGTCTGGTGATAAACATGAACAATCCCAGATCCTGGGAACCTCATTGTTGTGACTCATGCCAGTCCGAAAGGTCTGGGGCAAAACTTTATAGGACTCTTAGGTTGTTCGTTCTCTCTGGGCCCAAACAGGTTTGCAGCCTCAGAGCTGGCAGGTAGAACTTCGAGTGAGAAACAAGAATAGATCTCCAGGTCAGGGGTCTGGGTAGAGTTTGTCCCACACAAATATTGAGCATTAATCGATTTTTTTAAAAATCAGGAGTAGCAAGTTTGTATTTTACTGTTTATTCTCAGCAAATTTATTCTCAATCCTATAACTGAATATGTAAGATTACTTAAAGGAATTCAGCTGTGTGATGGCTGTTTACATATTTCTAGGATCTCTCGAAGACTGCCCAAGACAGCTATCCTGAGGATAATGTTATGTTGCATATAAGTGACCCAGCCACTCTATATTGCTAGGGATAATATAATATTTTAATATCTCTAAATTCAGTTAAAATTAGTATAGCAACTATTTATTAAATTAAACATTAAGGTTCTATTTATGATAATGGACAAAATTAATTGAGAATTTATGATTTGGCAGGAACCATGCTGAGCACTCTATGTTCATTAACTTACCAGTTCTCTTCTGAGATGAGTGTGATTACTATTCCCAATTTCCCCAATGGAAAATTGAGAGCAACTCACCGAGGGTCACTAATGAATAAATAGAGAGCTCCAGATTGGAGTGAAGGTGCTCCCCAGCTCAGGAGCCTCAGAGTGTCACCACTGAGTGTCCAGGTCCCACAGCCTCCTGGTCAACACTGAAGATCACTCAGGAGAAAAGAGACATTGAGAAATGCTGGAAAACCTGTAATTTGAGAGCTGCAAGAGGAGAGAACCAAGATTTGTGAATGAAAAGACTAAGTGAGAAGGCGAGAGGAAAGATGTGGGGGTGAGCGGAAGAGGGGGAGAGCATTGGGGAGAAGACACACTGAGGAGGAATGAACAGGAGCAACCAAGAGCAATCTCAGGGACGCCTGGCTGGGAGAGAGCTGGGCCCACGTGTCTCAGGGAAATCTCTGAATCCAGATGCTTAGCTTACATAGGTTGCTCCAGAAAGAGCAACCAAAAGGGCTCTGAAGTTCTCAAATAGGAAATAGCCTAGCACATTTAGCTGATCTGAAATGAGTTGGTGGTAGAGTTCAAGAATCCAGACGTAGAGATGAGCAAGCACATTCTAGTATCCATTTTATGTGCAAGTACACTGTGCAAAGATATTATGTCTGTATTTATTGACATAATTAAAATGCTATGGAGTATCTACTTAAGACTTTATATTTAAGACTGAAGAGGATACAATGTAAAATTGCATTTCAATTCAAAATTGCTGCAGGAGCATGAACATAAGACAAGTGAGCAACTGTTATACTACAAGTGTAGTGCACGACAGTCCATAAAGGATATACCAAATACCTGAAATCCTGCAAGAGATCCAACAAAGTTCATTTGGAGCAGGAGGGAAGGCTTCTTTGAAGGGAGACTGGCCTTGAAGAGCAGCCTTGAAGGATAATCAGGGCTCTAGTGGCACCTCTGTTATTTTCAGATAACTCAGCACTATTCTAAGGTTTATCTGCCCTTTGACTCTGGGTAGGCATGTAGTGATGTGAGATTTTTTTTCTTTTCCCAAAGTAAAGAATTGGATAATATCATCAAAATGAACAAAAGCCTGAACAGGTAAGATTTTAGGGTTTTTTTGTCATTTTGTTTTCTTACTGAATTATACATTGTGACTACTTGTATTTTTTCTCTGAGCAGTATCTAGTCTTTGAGCAGGAGAACCACATACCAGGCTAATCAAAAATATCTTATAAGCCTTAGATAAAAAGCTTGCAGGAAAAATCACTTCATTGTTATTGTGAATGGTTATTAAAGTCTGAAGATACCAATATTAAAGTGTCTTTGATTTTCATACTCCATTATCTTACTAAAGCAATTATATGAATGACCACATTTCTCTTCCCGAAATATTAATGCATTTATATTACAGTTTGGTTTGAGTACTAAATACTTTTAGTTTGACTATTTCAAAACCCACTAATATCTTAGTTAACATTATCTATTTATTTTGAACCATTTATAATTGTAAAACTGAAAATATAGTAGGAAAGAAAAACAAATAATGGAGGCAGAAACAGTGTGTATAATTTTAGTTATCTCTGTTATGAAGTATGCTAAACAGTTGTCTTGGTTATTTTTCTCTCATTGCTGAGGCAGAATACCCAACACCCTTAGAAGGGAAAGGTTTGTTTAGCTCATGGTTTGTGAAGTTCCAGTCCGTAATCAGCTGGCTCCAAGGCAGGGTGGCATGGCTCAGGGGCAACAGTCCAAGGCAGCAGAAGACAGCAAAAGCAACAAGAGTAAAAAAAGGGGGAAAGCAAGCCTCTTTTCCTCCTTTATATTGTATGCAGGCTATCTGCCCACATCATCTCTGTGCCTTCCTCTTCCTCAAGCTCAGGATGTTCACAAAGTGAGGACCATGGCCCTCTGCTGAGTCACTTAGTTAAGCTTCTAAATTTCTCTATTCTCAAGGTGACATGGTGTATCCACCATAACAATGGTTTTAGTATATGTCTTGGTGAAGCGAGCACTAAGTATGCTACCCAAATAAACTGGCAGGAACCAAACAATAAAGGAGAAAATAAAGAAAATGTCAGGTGAAGCAACTGATTGGAGACTCGTGGCATAACGGTGTTCATATCTTGTTCTGGTGCCGATGATCTGTAGGACTACTGATGAAGCATTGTTAGCTGCTTTTCGGTTACCTCACTTACAAAGAGAGGAGGTTTTAAATCAAGAGTCACAGAAGGCAGAGGAGACAGTGGAGGTGGCCGACCATGGGAGACATAGGTAGTGGTGGAACCATGGCAAGAAGGGCAACTGCCCTGTCAAAAGCACCTGGCCGCTTCTCAGCAGCCCCTGAGGGTTCCCACATAGGAATTTGGGTCTCTGCTGCGGGAGAGCCCAAAAATCCAGGGCGGCAGCCACGTGACCTGCCATCTCTGTAAACACTGACTCACATTCAGAATGCAAACACATCCAACACAACACATCTGTAGACCTGTTGTGCCTTGTAGATCCCCAGTTTATTAAGTCTTTTACTGTATTTCTCTAACATCTGCAATTTAATTTTGAGTCTCTGCTCGGAATCAAGCAAATTCAAGAATCAAAGTTCATCCTTCTCACCAGCTTTCTCAACAGCTATTTCCTGTTTTATATGTAAACTGATCTGTTTTTATAGAGTTGAGTATCTGTCATTATTACTGATGAAATTTTTAATGAATATATTTAAAGAAATCAAGGACTTGATGGTCTCTTCAGAGCAAATCGGAAGGCAGAACAAACAGAAAAAAGGTAAAAGCATTTGTCTCTAATCTGGGAATCCTATCTCTTGGATTGCTTGTTTTATTCTTTCCATCACTAGATGAAAGGGAACTGCATCCTCTGGCATGGGAATTAATTAGCAGATGGGCTAGCACTCTCCACACTGAACATTTAGTTCAGACATAATTGCCCAGAAGGATTTCTGCTCTTTCATTCAATGAGAGTAAATGAGCAATTCTTGGGGAATGTTTATTGTATCTGACCTTTCAAGATACCACACAATTTCATTGCAATATACAGGGTTTTATTGGAATTTTTCTGTGTTTATAGAGCCAAAAGTCTTGAAAGTCTCATCCATGTGAATACCCAGATGGACAAAGATGGCAAAGAGTAAGTTTCAATCAAAACCAAGACAGGTCATTTCCGTTGAGTACTAAATTGTCTACTGTGTTCTGGGGGAAACCTTCTGCTTAGGGCGAGTCAGCAAGGTTGACGGGAGGGGTGTGGGATCAGGGTCCAGTGATGATAAGCATCTTGATGGTGTTTTTGCCATGGCATTCATCCGGGTGTCCCTGGGCAAGTGGCTTAGCCTTTGTGAACCTTTATTTCTTCATCTCATAAAATGATGTGTCTGACTTAGATGATCTCTAAGTTCCCTTGTATATCTAAAAAAGAAATAAATCCAAGTAGCTGTTATAAGTAGTGGACAATAGTCTTGTTTATGAAGAATCTTTACCATAAGATGCTTATGTTCTGGGAATATAGCCACTTGTCACTAAAGTCTTTTCAATGTAGAAGGCATTTTTCAGTTGGAATCTGGGTAGCACTTCACATGTATACCTCTCCGTATGTATTTGTAAATACCTTGTGGTTGAAAACCATGCTTTTTAAAACTTTGTACCATAACATGGATTAATTTATAATGAATAGCTGAATTAGCAGCATGTGAGAAATTAACTTGTAGTTTTAAACTAATCCTGATATAGTGGAAAATTGAATTTATTACTGGTATTACTTTTCATGTTGAAAGAAACCACACTCTTGACAGTTTCATTAAAGAAAAACCCACAATAGTCAAGGATGATAAATGGTAAAGATTTATAAAATTTCTGGTATTTTCCCCCATAGATGGGCTTCTCGCTTTATATTTGGTTAGTCATTAAACTTGCCGTCCTAACATGATAATTATTTCTACTGTTGCAGTTATTTTAGAAAACCATTTATCTGGGCCAACCTGTGCACAGAGTGCTACTGTAGCTTTCCAAGTCAACCTTGGCAGATATAGCCTCAACTCTTTCTTTTGTGGAACACTGAATACAGTCTACGTGGTGAAAAGTGCTGGCAGCAACCATTACACTGATGCAGGATGTTGCTTGAAAATGTATTACCGTATGTAAACACGGTGACATATGACAGGCAATTTATTTTTCAAATAGAGCATAGGTGAAGCAATCAGTTCTCTTCAAGTGTTTACATGGATCTCACAGGAAAAGACGAAATCTCAAGTATTTAAAAACATGGAGCTGGAGAGCTCCACAAAAATGGTGGTGAATAGGAAAAGTAGCATGAGCACCACAGATGTATCATTTTGGGGCTAGGAAAGAGAAGAAAGAGGTGATTTGTAATCTAGGAGAACAGTAGCAACTGGACTCTGTGTGTGTGTGTGTGTGTGTGTGTGTGTGTGTTTATGTGTGTGTTACTGATTTTAAGGATTGAATCCAGGGTCTTAACACTGAGCTATAGGCTCAGTCCATTTCACTTTTTTTTTGGAAACAGGGTCTTGTTAGCTCAAAATTATTATCCTCCTGCTTCAGTTTTCCAGAGTGCTGGCTATCCAGGCCTGTGCCACCAAGCCCAGCTTTCTCCTGGGACATTTTAAGAGAAATGTTTAAATGCTCAATATATTTACATTCAAGGGGTGATCAGTGGATTTCCACCCAAATTCAAAGAATTTTCATGCTTAAATAAGACAACATTTTAATGTATATCTTAAAGACCACTCCTTCCCCCCTTAAAACCTACCATCAAAGAGCAAAAGCTAAGACCCAGCTTTTGAAGGGGCAATTTTCCTTTAAGGTAATTCAATCATAACTGAATCATGGTTGGAATCTTGATATTAAGATGTCTGCTGAGTATCTTGCACAATGAGTTGCATACTGAGACAGCCACTTGAATACTTCTAAGAACATCTAATCCTTTACACTGACTATATCTTACTGCTATTGTGTGAAATCTGCTGTTATCATAAGAGATTCTGAAGACAGCACTGAGTTGTTTTCCATTTCATTCTCTGTCTTGCTCTGTGTTTTCTTTTGTCCCAATATTATAAAGAGATCAAAGCCTCGGAAGTTTTAATAAAGTTAATCAAAGTACTGACAAAAATGAGAAAGGGTAAGTGAAACTCCTGCTTTGCTGGAGCTCTTTTTTCAAGTTAGCTTCTTATGCCTTGTTGGAAAGGGGAGCGTCATGCCTTCCTCTGCCGAGAACAGCCTGTTCAGGCCTAGCAAATGTGATGAATGCTCTTTCTATAGGACCACGTCCTTGATTTGCACTGAAGTAGGTGCAGGAAAACTTGGTACATAATCTCTTCCTAGGTGTTCTTAAGTGATTAAAAATGAGTCAAGTTTTAAATATTAATTAAGAAATAAAAGGTCAATATTGCAAAGGGAGAAGAGCAGGAAGTTTTTCTAAACAGAGTTAGACTAGGGTAAATGAAATACTGCTGTATAAATGAATAAAGTTAAGAGTAACTGCATTCAAGGTCTTTCTGGTTCTGAAGATATCTGACATCATATTCAGGCACATTCTTCTTTATATAAATTTTAAAGACAATCGTATGTAACCTAATAGATACAAAATTGCCACACCCAATGACAATGAATTTGATTTTTTTTTCCCAAAGAAGCCGAGACCTTGAATCTATCACCAAAGAGGATACCAGGACAGATGGAACCAGAAGAGGGTGAGAAGTGTGTGGATGTCTCTGAATGTTGGTTACGCTCTCCTGGATTGATTGGTTACCTGCTCAGGGATACTGAAGGTGTCACAGTTTTGGGTTTATCTTCTCTCTTTTAGTCTCATCTCCGGTGCCCTGATCTTTCTATTGAAGGGTCTACATTATATTTTATCTAAATTCTCTTACATATAACCCGATAAAAACTAGAGATTGATTAACTGCATTATTGTTAGGCAATTTTATACTAAAATCAATTTAATATCAGTATTTTTAAAATTTTATCTGAAAGATTGGGTTAATAGTCACTAATATGGAATGTGTACTATGTATATAATATTTTGAAACAGACCTAAACTTTTTTAAAAAAGTAAAGATCTTGAAAATATTATCAAAGTCAAACTCAAAAGAAATGAAAATTCCACTGGCTGAGATGGTTAATGTCTTTAATTCTAATTTCTACAAGAGACAATCAATTAGAAGATGAAAAGATTTGGCGTTTTAGCTTCATAACCATATTTTATTGTAATGAAATCAGACAATAAAGATGGACTATCCCTACGTGTCCCCTGTAAAACCACTTATTTTTGAAGAAGTGCTCCACATTTGCTTGTAGGTTGCTTTTTGGGGTCCCATCCTAGGGGGACCTCAGGTGCTATGTCATTGGGTTGGCTGCCATGTCAGTACAGCTGTGAAGAGGAGCCAGCCTGGCAGTGCTGACCTTTCATTTCTAGTGTGGCTTCAGAAGCCCCCTTTTCACTCAATGTACTTTAATGGGGCAGAATGTGTCCTCCTGAGAAGTGAATCATTAATTTCCCTACTCTGTAAAGTATTTTTTTTCTTGCCCTTTGTTACTTACCATACCTTTTGGGAGGTATCAGGAATTGAACTCAGGACCTCGTGCTCACCAGGCAGGCGCTGTACCACTGAGCTCTATCCCCGGGCCACGACTTACCATAATTGTGAATCTGAAGCAAATGATATGTAAAAAGTTTTTGTTGGGGGGGATGTGTTTGTTGTGAAGGCATGTTTTCTTAACTGTCATTATTTGTAACATTGTTAAATTATAGCTAACGAGATTTTAATGATCATTTCATATTGGAATAGGGAATTACATTTTATTTGTTGAGTAAAAATTTATATTTCCTCTGGACCCAGTATAGAACTTCATTTAACTTACATTACTTCAATGTTGCCTACCTACTTGGGGTGTTGTAACAAGATACAACTGGGGACAAAGTTGTTCAGTGACAACTTTCACATATATTTATGCATGCTGAGGACCAAAAATATGCTTCTTGTTAATAAGTAAACAGCCTTAAATGGTCCTCTACTTAAGATGCAAGAGAAGGATTTTCATCTGCATTTAGAGATTTAAATATTTACATCCCCACAGAGAACTTGTATATTTGCCACTTCCTAACTTTTCCAACCACTATTCTTTTTATTACTGTTTTACTTTAATAACATTCATTAAAACTATTTTCTTTATTCAAAGAAAACAAGGTTTTGCTGAGCTTGTTAGAGTAAATCCTGAAACAAATAAAAACATCAAAAGGTAAGATATTTTAAACTGTCTTCTCCCTTTTGTATGGCATTTATTACACATTAGAATTCTTAGTGCCTGTGTTCAGACAGCAAACTGAAGTTCAAGACAAAAATGGAGATTTCTCTCCAAATATATTATATTAAGCAGCTCTATTTACATGATACACAGACCTCTCTTGTAATCTATTCTTGAATGGTTTGTTATCCAATAATTTTGAGAAATTAAAAAGAAATTTGACTGACCTTATCTACTGAGCTCAACCAGTATTATTTTCTGTGTGCACATGAGATTGTACATGTGTATAAATGTACATCTGTGTCAGCAGTGTGGGAAATGTATGTGTATGTATCAGTATTATATGTATAAATGTATATTTAAGTATATGTCTAAGTAATGTGCATACATATAAATGTGTATGTATGTATCAATAATCTGCATGTACATATGCATATTTGCTTATATGTGTGTGCATTTATAAGTAGTGTGTACCTGCATGTGTATGAACTAGTGTTTGGTGTATTTGTGTGTGTAGTAATGTGTATATGCATGCAGTGTGGTATATATTTAAGGATGACATGATTATCAAAGTGGGCTCAATGAAAAGAATGTTTTACCCATGAATGGTCAAGTAAGTCTGGAGAGCTTATGTCCTTTTGCTTTTTATTTTTACTAAGCAGATGGCATGTTTTGAAACTGATATTATTGCCATGTTGCTGAAAACAGTGTACCAAACAGTCCCATGTGGTTTCTGCTGAACTCATCTTCATTCATTTAACTCGGTACATGATATTATTTGTTGACTCTACACAGAGTGTTGCCAAGGCCCGTGGGCCCTGTTGGCAGAGTGAGGGCTCGGCTAGCTAAGAGCTGGTGTGCATGCTGACCAGCTGTCTTGCTTCTGGCCATGTAGTGTAGCCACAGGCACAACCACTGGATGGAGGAGAGGCTTGTACCATCCTATACCCAACAGGCTGATGCAAAAGCATTGATTACATTGTCTGCCTCGGTGGTTCATGGAGGTAACTTGAGGTTGGAAGTCTGAGCAGCGAGTCTGAAAGACTTGGGTTCAAATTCTGGCTCTTTTTAACTATGTCCCAGTACTTCAGTTATAATGCAAAGATCGTAATACACTCATGCCTACTGCATGCTAGGCAGAAATCATTGTTACAATAGTAAAAACTCAAGAATTGTATTTTTATTAATGATTTAGATAATCTTCAGATACATTTAGCTTATCTTGACTTCCAAAAAATATGTTTTCCTTTCCAATTTATATTAGACTATTTCAAATTCTGACCTATTTTTCTTAATATTCTGAATGTGTGTCATGCCTATGTATGCACATATATTATGTACACATACAACTGTTTGCATGCATGGGTACTTTTATGTGTGTGCATATGTGCATGAGTGTATGTTGTACATGGGTGTAATTGCATATATGTGCACTATGCTTGTATATTCATGAATTTCTGTGTAAGCATATGTGTGCCTTTGTGTGTATATGATGCATATGTATACAGATGTGTATATTTGTGCATGTATGAGTGTATGTGTGTGCTTTCTGGGAGCTTTTAAGAGTAATAGATGTTAATTCTTTTTTCTACACATAATGAAGTTCTGTATATCCTTCAAAAAAATCAGATCCTGTTCTTTTCCTTTTTAAAAAGCTTTCAATATCCCTTCATGTCAGGTAGAATATAATTCTAATGCTTAACAAAGGCCTTTGACCTTCTCAATAAAGCCCTGCCAAATGCATCTTTCATATCCTGGAATTTGAATGCCAGGGTCATTACTGCTGTTAAACCTTTTTCATATACTGCTCCTACTCCTGGAATTCTCAATCCCTACATTGTTACATTTTTAACCACGTTATTTCTGACTATTGAATATAGTTAAATCACTTCTAACTCCCTCGACTGCACATTAGACACCAGGCACTCTTTTATGTTTTCTTCAGAGCATGTATCTTCATCTGCAATTGTGGCATTCATTTATGTATCTATTTCATGCCTCTCCCCAAGTTGAAACGGTAGCCTCTTAAAGGTTGACCCTCTGTCCGTAAAGATCACGTTGATTTTAACACTACACTGCAGTGTAGTCTGGTGTCCTCCATACTTTCCAGTTTGTGGATTGAAAAATTGTGCACACGGTAAAGATACAGGGGTGATCAAAATATATAGTGAATGTTTACATTTTAAAAATTTATTACAGTAATTTGCGACCAAGCATGGTAGCCCCGCCTGTAATCCCAGCACTAGGGAGGCTGAGGCAGGAGGATCACTGCCAGCCTGGGCTATAGTGAATTCAAGGCCAGCCTGAAGTGCATAGTGAGACCCTGTCTGAACACTCACTTCAAAAAAAAGACACAATTACCATTAAACCCTCACCAAATACTCCTTTCCCTTAGAATACATTGATCTCATCATTGTTGATACTTTCTTTTTTTATTATAAAAAGAATAAAAGTACAACATGTGCAAACATCTTTTTGTCTCCCTAGTGTAAGACCCTGAAAGAGTAAATAAAACCCATAATGTACAATAAACATTATGAAAGGGAAAGAAATTATTGTCACTTTCTGAAACAGGTCTGGAAGTTCTCTTTCCAGAGTGTCTTTATAAAGTATGATCAAATATTCAGTGAATGGTACCGCTGAGTGGCGTTTAATACAAAGATAAGGGTATGTTTTTATCCACTTTATTCCCTGGATCTGAGACCAAATCTGATTTCTGGCTCTTCCCCAAATTCAGTATGACCATGAAAGGCAAATGCTTTGAATTGATTTAAGGCATCAAAACAGCCAACTATACATCTAGATACTCATTAATGAGGCCTTCCAGAATTGCTTCAGAAAGCTGCAAGTACAATGGGATAAGTGTGTTTAAAGGGAGGAGGAATATCCTCAGGGGGATTCATCCCAATGTGCTTTTTATTGTAATACATCTTAAAAATTTAAATATTCCCTGTAGTTTTCAATTACACCTTATACATAACACTATGAGGAACTGCTCCCCAGAGTTAAGCTCAAATATTATATCATTATGTTGATTAGAAACCACATTAATTAGTTCACTTTTCTTTATTGACTTTATGAACTAAAGAATTTAAATAACCTGTTACTATTATGTGCCTCATGTAGTGTTTAAAGAGATAAAGTCTTGAAATATAATTAAAGGAATATAATGAAATATAAGAAATGATAATGCTCCCTGTTCCGTTATTTTTAGAATTTTCAAGTCTCTTAGAATTTTTCTCCCACAGGTCCTGGCATTCAAATTCCATAAAATTTTTAGATAAAAATCAACAAGGGGTAATCTGGAAGACAGTAGCTGTTTCTTTGGGGTTAATTGCTTCATTACTTTCAGGATGAATCTCTACATATTTTGTTGCTGTTTTTTAGTCTAAGTTTCATATCTTGACATCTGGATACAAACAAAAAGCTTGGATCAACATCTGGTTGCTCCCAAATATCTGTAACTTTGATGTTTAGATGAAACCTCTGAGACTTTTTGATATGTTCTTTGTAAGATCAGAGAGTGTGGGGAATAATGTGAATACACCCTCCTGTGGATGGGTCCCCCTCATGTGGTGTCCTCTGCAGATCAGAGGAGAATTTGTTGGTGCTGTATATGTGGAAAACACAGGTAGATGCAGTAAGAAAGACATAATTCCATTAAGATCAGAAGCAGACATATATTGAAGGTTAACAATAAAATACTGAAGCAGTTTCAGTGATTTATAGTTGATATGTGCAACATTCCAGAACTCTATAGATTTTAATGTTTGCTGCCAAAACAATTCATCAGAATGTGTCATTGTAACCCACAATTTTAGGTACCAGAAGCAGATGCCAGCTTGCATATAATGATTTTAACAAATTGGGGTATTTACCTTAATACAGTTTTGTGATACAAATCTGCCAATGAATCTCAAATGAATTCTTTGGCATGGATTCTTCTAAATTGTTTTTGAAGTTCTATGCATGTGAGAGGTTGATATTTAGAGCGTTTGGCTTCTGGAATGTTCCATAGGACAAGTATGTAAACAAATACCAAAACGTTTTGTGTACTCGGCAAAGGCTAACAATATAGTATTAAATGCACCGAAACAGAACATGTTCTAGCGCAAAATTTATTCATGGCTAAATGCCTCTAAGTTGAAAATATTGTCTGGGTCTCAATGAGTTCCAGAGATATATAAATTCTTGCAGACCTTCATAGTCACATTTAACAATTGTCAACTCTTCAGCATGATATCAGTGAGTGCTTATACTATTTGTGAATATTAATGAATAGTTTCATCCACTTGTTGAAAATCTACTGTTAACGTCACTATCTCCTCAATATTTTAAAGCAGCCAAAGCCTTGGAAATCTGATCGAAGTGAGTCCTCAAGGAAACAGGAATAGACAAGGGTGAGGATTATATCTTAACTCTCTTCCGTCGACTCCTCATAAATCTGTGGCACTCGTAAGAGATCAGTTGAGAAGCCTTGGGATTGGAAGCTAAAAATCTGAGGCTCATTACTCACCAGCCAGGTGTCATTGAGCAAAGTTTCTGGACAACTGGGCTGCAGCTTCTTTAGTTACCAAACGAGGGCCGTAGTGTTTGTTCTGTCTTTGACATTGCATAGTTATAAGGATCAAACGAAATAATATGTATAGGATTCCTTTAAAGCTATAAATGAAAATTATTAGCTAACCAGAGTTATTATAGCTATAACATTTGATATTTATGGGGATGGAATGAAAGTTTTTGGCAAATCATTATATTATTCTTGAATCCACTGTTAAAAAAAACCAATCTTACCTAAATTTTATGGTTTTAAGAGTAAGTGGGAAACTAAGCCAAAATACCAATGAAAGTCAAAAAATTTTGAAGTGTAGACTAATACTGATATCTATCAAAACAGTAAAATTCATGCACATATACTTTTAAATCAAAACAGCCAGTTGATTTAATTTTATTTTTATTTCATTTTTGTTTGTCTTTTGTTCAAAGTTTCAAAGACCTTACTAACTACAAAAATGTGAGTCCAACAGTCAAAAAAGTCTTCAAGGGCAACCTTTAATAAGTTCCTCTTTTTCATTTCATGCTAACCAATGCTTAAAAGTATAACTAAATCACCACTTCAATTGGTTAATGCTGAACCCAGTCATAATCAAGACAAGCCACGCAACCCTGGCTACCCTTTGTATCTAAAATGTTAAGGATTTTGGTCAAGCGACTTCTGATATAATCAAAATATCCTTCAATCAATTAGGTCCACAGTTGCTTTCTCAAAATGGATAAGATCTTTTTATCTATTGATTTATTTACTTTTGTTAAGCAGAAGAGATGGTACAGTAGAGGGGATGATATAGTAGAGAGGTAGTGGGCTGGAGCTCGTAGATATGAGCTTAGGCCTGACCTACTCCTCCTATTTGTGTGGTCTCCGACTAATCATTTCTGTTTGGGTTTTGTTTTTTTCCTCCAAGTGAGGAAAGGGGATCAATTGATTTCTAGACACTTCGAGAACTAATTTACAAGTTGCAGTAACATTGTTGGTGTCATAGTAAAGCCCAAGCATTCTAGACCTAGTTTGTCTACTTTTAAATTCCAGCCCTGCCACTATCAGCAAAGGTGGGAAAATCAGTTACTCTTTCTGTGTTAGTTTTCTCTGTGTATGTTGTTAGGATGATAGTACTTCCAGTGTCACAGGATTGGTGTGCTGATTATACTAAACCATGTACATTACATTAGAACAGTGCCTGGCATGTCAAAAATCAAAAATATTCTGAAAGTATTTGCTATTATTTATTATTTTTATCCAGTTACTGTTAGGTCCCAATATAAATATTTATATTCAGCTCTGAAAAACCTCAACTCTCTAAGATGAAGACTATTCATAATAAAATATTTCTAAGTTTTGACAAATATTTGCAAAACCATTTGATGTAAATCTACTACTGATCTGATTATTTCTTCTATTTTTTAAAGGGGCCAAAGTCTTGACTGTCTAATCAAAGTAGTTCCTGAAATGAACCAAGGGTAAGGTTTATGAAACTCGTCATCTCCCATTTTTGAATTCAACTTTAAAAATTCAAATTTAAAAATATGATAAAAGCATTGCCCTGGCACAGAGAAAACCAATGATTGGACCTAAAATTAGCAGCCCCTTGGCCACCAGCCCATGCACTGGTGTTGGAGCCCTCGTTCAGCACTCTTTGATGAGGGCTTTTGTGTCAGAGAGAATTCCTTGAATTAGATTAATGATTCCTTGCCAGTATGGGATTTGTGCGGCATGATTGAGACTTCCTTCTCTGAGAGATTCTCCATGAGGTGAAACGCCACCCCAAAATAATTTCCTAAAGCTAAGAAGAAAAAGAAAAGAAAAGTCTTTAGGTGATAGACATTTTCCTTCATCATTTATTCCCTCTCTTTTACTTGTGCATCTCCTAAGCAGTCTTAAACTTGGACAGTCACTTTTAAAAAATTATTTTTTGTTCATTGAAAATATAAAGACTACAAAGAAGGACATTTGCATTTTATAGAGAATTTTCTGTAAGGCACATCATGTTAATTAGACAAAGAGTGATAAAACTATGACATTATAAACATATTGTTATGCTAGTTTGAATTTAAGTTAAATATGTAAATACCAAGATACATATCTTCTTTGTGATAGATTTCCTGTCTTATTTCGCATATGGAAATGCTCTTTATTTTTGTAGTTTAGCTATCAAACATTGTTTATTTAGACAAGATCAGAGGTAATATTTTTCTTAAAGGGCTAGATAATAAATATCTCTGGGTTAGAGGACCTAAATAGTTTCTCTGTTACTAACATAGTAAATTCTGCCCGTATAGTGAAAGCAGCCATAAAAATATCTTGTAAATGAATGGGCATGGTTATGTTCTAATAAAACTTTATTTATAAAACAAGGCTGCAGTCTGAATTTTGCTTCAGGGCCATCATTTGCAGACCCTTAAACTAGATGGCATTTTATTTGGAAACAGGGAGAGGATTAACTCTGAATTTGAGGATAGCCAGTTCCTCCACCTCTATCTCACTTACACATGTAATTTCATTCATTTTATATGAAACTGAAGATTTCATGACTCTTATTTGAATATTTACTGCTAAATTGTCCTTATATTTATTCAAATAGGAATAAAATTCTATTGCCAGGCCCTGGATTCAGAGACCAAGTAATACTTTACATCACAGACTATGTTGTCTTTTTTTTCTCTCCTAGAAAGACTTAATGTCTAAAGGTGAAGGTGACCTCAATTTATGACCTTTTATAATAGCCACATGCTGCTGTTTATTGCACTTAGTTGTACGTCTGTTTTTTTCACTTGGCAGCGAGATTTTTTAAGTTCAGAGCACATTTACCAGCTGTATAGTCTTGAATAAATTGCTTAATCTTCAAGCCTCAGCTTCCTTATCTATGAAATCAGGAGTTAACTTTTTCCTGAGTCACTAGAAATATAATGTGATCATACTGTAAAATACTTATTTACTATACTTTATCTACCAGCATTATTATTGTAGTTAGTATTTTTCTTCATCATTGAATCAACATAGCACTCCTTGATACTTAACTTAAAGAAGGTATAAAAAATCTTTATGAAATTACTAGCATTTAGCTATTTTTGACTCACAAAATTATATTTAATATAACTTTATATCATAGAGTATAATATTTTCCATGGGAAGATATGTATATAATAAAATGAGTATATAGGTTCTTTCTAAAGAACAGCTAAATGGCTTTCCAGACTTTCTTCCTTTTTCTCTTTAGGATATACAATGCCTTGTCCAATAATAAAGGATATCAAGTTAGATTTATTATTCAGGCCTTTTGGTGTTAGACTGTTATGTTTAAAATAAAAAGACAAATTATATGATTTGAACTTTCATTTGTTGTGATTTGGCTTTATGTGAAGTGTAATTCTGAAATGATTTAATTAATATTTTGAAATAGAAGTAATATCATATCTTCAGATCATATAGATTACCTGCATAATTTAGAATCAGGAAATAATTCTTTTTAAAACATCTCAGTTTTTAAAAATGTTCTTTCTTTTGGAAGGGGGAAAGAATACATGGAAATGATAAGTAATTTTATATTTTTGTCTTTCTCACGATACCCTCCAAAAATACTCTATGCTAATGCTACTACAGAAATATAATACAGAAAATAAGGAGTTCATGACTAATTTTACTGTGAGACTGACTTGACAGAAGCATTTATAAAACCAAATTCTCATACATATGAATTGTTCGTGAACTGAATTGATAGAATTTACCTGTTTTTGCATGAGGCCCCAAAAAGAATTCACATGGTGATGGAGTTTTAACTTAGCAATAGTCATTTGTTTCAACATTAAGGTTGAAAAGCACAAAATGGTTGATTTGAGTTGACTTTGTCAGCTACCGAAATTTACAACATTTATTTTTAGGGACCAAGATCTGGATAATCTTATCAAAGTGAGCACCTCAGCAAACAAAAGGTAAGCTCGTTAAGATTACTGAAGATTCCTGAGCAATTCTTCAGTGTATATGAAGAAAATGACCATTCAGATAAGGACATTTCAAAAGCAGACAAAAAAAATGAGTACATGTCACTTTGTTGATGAAGAACAATACCAGACAGATTTTTAAAATTATTGCTTCCATTTATTTCATTGTAATATTGTTGAAAATGATAATGCTGAAGCTAATTCTGTAATATTTACTACTTGAATACCTTTTGATGCAATAATATTTTAAGTATATTATAAGAGTAAATTTGTAGTTAGTAATTATAAGTTCATAAAACTAAGTAAGCCAAAGAATATTGGCTTTATACTTTCCCATAAACCCAAGGATTAATTTTTAAATGACTGTCAGAAAACTAGCAACATAATAGTCTTATGTTTCATTTGAATATTTTCACATGACTTTGAATTTATTTCTGTTCTTGAGAGATTAACCCCATCACAGATTGGAGCAAAAGCTAATGAAAGCATGGCAGAGGAACTCTAAAATATTTTTCATAGAATTATTGTGAAGATAATGTTGGCAAAAGCATTGTGCAAATGGAAGGAACCACTGTGAATGCCAAGAGACAGGGAAGGAGTATGGACTTGGGGTCAACTTGTCCACATTTCAATTTTGATTCACACTCAACCACTGTTTGAGAATCTGGCCTCAGGAAGTCTCAGTCCTTATGAAGCCTGCATAGCCCAGATATCTTTTTCTTTTCTCTTCTCTTCTCTTCTCTTCTCTTCTCTTCTCT